CTACGCGGTTTGGCCGTTCGTCCACACGCAAACGCAGCACCAGTTCACTGAAACCAAACATTTTTGAAAACACCTTCCAGGGTGAAGATTTTCAAAAACTCTGGTTGCAGTGTTGTCGTGTAGACAGTGAAACCTGAGTTTTTGGCTTGTGACGTCGGACCCTGCGCTGTTATCTCCGCCTACTGGAGACTTTTTCAGGCTTCTGATTGGCCAACATGGCTTTACAGTTGAGATTATATCGCCACCTGTTGGTTTGGCATGCTCTTGACAGTGCTTCATAGCATGCGTTTGCGTTTTCATGTGGACAGAGATTTTTTTTTAAATGGAAGAAGGAAAAACTCTGTTTATAAAAATACCGGTGTATGTGTGGACATGGCCTTAGTCTGCTGTCATCACTACAAGACCTGCACGCAACTAAGATACAGGCACACATCCGTTTTTCTTTCGCCTGTTTACTTTCACTTTAGACATAACCAACTGTGTTTATATATTGTCCAGTAATCAAGCTCTGTTTGACAGGCTTTTTAATGTGCACGTGCTTCAGGTGAACGCACTCAGAAAAAGCGCGTTTCAGAACAGCACATGACTGACCGGCAAGGCTTTAAAGCACATGCAAATAATGTACTTTTGTGATTGCAAAGTGCAGTCTCCCGTGAGTGTAACTCTACTGCTGAGTTAACATTTGATGTGTATGTCGCAACACAGTATATTGAGACAGAGGCGCCAGAACTGCAACTGTTAGGCTGATGATACATGGGGCGACTTTTTGAGCAATGTTGCCTGGCAACTTTGGCTAATGTTGCCGTCAACGGGCAACCAGGTGAGACACAGGGCCCACGACTGATCTAAAGTATCCAGATAGAAATTTGTTACCCATTCTCAATGGGAAAGTGTCCAAGCAACATTGCTCAAAAAAAGTTGCCTGGCAAAATAGCTCAAAAGGTTGCCCCATGTATCATCAGCCTTAGAATGTGCACTGTAGCATGATACTGTGATATTTCTTCAAAAGCAGATCGTGGAGACATTTTAATCATCCATGGTCAAAAATGATATCGCCCACCCCTGGTTTAGAGTCTCTAAATGTAAGATTCAACACAATAAATGCAATCAATGAATCATTGATTGATTGATTCATTGTGATCAAGGACTGTCACGCATCATAAAAGTATAAAAAAATTCAGAGCCAGTCTGCAGATTTGAGTTGACAGATTTCATAGAAAATGGCGTAGTGTATGATGTTCACAGACTCCAATTTTTTAGCTTCAGACTATGATTCCATCCAGTCGGAGGATATCAAACATGTTTGATATTTTGAGCCGATTTTAGAATGCAAATAGTTTTCAATTCTCATGTGTCTCCTAGCAACAAGGCGCATTTTCTGTGTGAGTTTGTTGTGATCAGAACGACTTTAAAGTCTGGTAGTGTATGATCCTCAGTTGTTGATGGCCAGTTTTTCTCTGTAACAATTTGCAAAGTCGGCAAGTGTATGATCCCTAGTGTTTTCAAATCTGTTCAGATTTTAAAAGTGGTGTAGTGTATTCCAGCCTTAAGTCCAATGGACATCTTTTATGGTGCTTTCTTTAGGCTAATCATCAGTCCTTGGTCACTTCGCTTTGGTTTCCAATGAAGAAAGTAAGTCATATGCATTTGAAACGCCATGAGTAAATAACAACAGACTGTTCATTTTAAGTATGCCGCTCACAGGTTTCAACCAGCTGTACAGCAGAGGTGGAAAGAGTACGACAATATTCTACTCAAGTAAAAGTACAATTACATTAATGAAATTTTACTTAAGTACAAGTAAAAGTACCAGTCTAAAAATCTACTCAAGTAAAAGTAAAAAGTAGCTCATTTAAAATGTACTCATTTTTCATG